ACTTAGATCTTGTAGGCTTTAAATGGGATTCGGGAATCAAGAACTACAATATCAAATACGATTTCAAAAACTATATCTCAGATAAATTCAAACTGAATTACGGTGTAAACGGAATTTATTACCAATTCAATCCCGGAACGATCAAACCAAGTAACGATACATCAGGAATTAATCCGGATCAGTTAGAGAGAAAATATGCTTTTGAACCCTCTGTTTATCTTGAAGCAGAAAATCAGCTTTCGAAAAAAATTACGATTTCTTACGGATTACGCTATAGTCTATTTTATCGTTTAGGAGCTTCGACAATCAATTATTATGATAATAATGAACCAGTTATTTTCAATAGTAATATGCAGATTTATGAAAAAGCAACACCTACATCGACTAAATATTTCGGTAAGAATAAAGAAATTCAGAGTTACAATAATTTAGAACCTCGATTCTCAGCTTCTTATCAATTAAACGATGATCAATCGATAAAAGCGAGTTATAACAGAATGGCGCAATATCTTCAACTAATTTCCAATACCTCATCGCCTACCCCGCTTGATGTCTGGATGCCAAGTGACAATTATATCAAACCACAAATTGCAGATCAGATAGCCTTGGGTTATTTTAGAAATATTAAGGATGGTGCATATTCTTTAGAAGTTGAAACCTATTACAAAAAAATTCAAAACAGATTGGATTATATCGATGGTGCCGATTTGATTGCCAATGACGCTATAGAGCAAGTTATCCTTAAGGGACGTATGCGTTCTTATGGTGTAGAATTTATGATAAAGAAAAACGAAGGTAAACTCAATGGATGGATTTCCTATACGCTATCAAAATCACAACAACAAACTCCGGGAAGAACTCCTGAAGAGATCGGAATCAATAATGGACAATGGTACAATTCTGCCTACGATAAAACACACAATTTAGCAGTTACATCGGCTTATACCTTAAACGAGAAATGGTCATTTGGCGCTAACTTTGCTTTGCAATCGGGTCAGCCTGTTTCGTATCCAAACAGTCAATACGAATATTTAGGAATTACCATCCCAAATTACGGACAAAGAAACGAAAATCGTTTGCCGGCGTATCACCATTTAGACATTTCGGCAACGCTAACACCAAGAAAAAACAAAGACAGAAACTGGAAAGGCGAATGGGTTTTTAGTATCTACAATTTATACAACCGTCATAATGCCGCGTCTATCAACTTTCGCCAAAATGTTGACACCGGAGCCAATGAAGCTGTACAAACCTCTATTTTTGGAATTGTTCCTGCTGTTAGTTATAATTTTAAATTTTAAAACAACTTTCCCTAAAAAGAAACAAAAGATATATCATGAAAAAAGCAACCTTATTAATGGCACTTTTTATTTCGATTCTCCTGGCAAGCTGTGAGGAAGTTGTCGATGTTGATCTCGACACTGCACCTCCAAAATTAGTAATCGAAGCGGCTATAAACTGGCAAAAAGGAACCACAGGAAAACAGCAAACTGTAAAATTGTCTACCACAACGGGCTATTTCGAAAACGTAATTCCAACAGTTTCAGGTGCCACCATTTTTATAAAAAACAGCAAAAACGAACAATTTAACTTTGTCGAAGTTCAAAAAACCGGACGATATGTATGTGCAAACTTTATTCCTGTAATTGACGAAAATTACACCCTAACTGTAATCAGTAACGGGAATACTTATACTGCTACTGAAACATTAAAATCAGTGGCGCCAATTACCCGAATCGAACAAAATAACGAAGGTGGTTTTACAGGAAAAGATATTGAAACCAAAGCTTTCTTTAATGACCCAGTTGATGCAGACAACTTCTATTTATTTAAATATGTTTATTCTAACAAAGTTACATCTACTTATTATGTTAGTGAGGATAAGTTTTTTCAGGGAAATGAATTTTTCAGCTCATCAGATGATGACGAATTAAAAGCAGGAGACGAAGTCGAAATGACACATTACGGGATTTCAAAACAATACTATAACTACATGAGCATATTGGTAAGCATTGCCGGAAGCAATTCTGGCGGACCTTTTCAATCCCCTCCTGCAACGGTAAAAGGAAATATCATCAATACAACTGATAAAGCCAATTATCCGCTGGGTTATTTTTCTCTTAGCGAAATCGACATAAAAAAATACAAAATTCAATAATTAATATAATGGAAGCCAGAATTGAAATTTTATCCGAGAAAAAACTAATTGGCAAACACATTGATATGTCGTTTATCGAAAACAAAACGTTTCAATTATGGAGTTCCTTCATGCCAAAACGAAAAGAAATCAAGAATTCTGTTGATTCG